CTAAAAACTCTTGCGAGACTAAATAACTCATGGAATATATATATATGAAGAAAATGGTTAATCAAAATGAATCATAATGTTGTTAAATTAACCCTTATTAGTAGTGGACGAATGGTTTCACCTTCTTAAAAATTTGTCATGGTGGTCTTAACCAGGGAACCAATTAATCCCTTCAAATGAAAATTATTTCACAGTTTTGACTAATTGACAAGAATATCCAAAATTTAATGAATTTTGAGGATTAGTCTTGTCTTCAACATATGACTCCAATTATAAGGAAAAAATTAAACCCTAATTTGTTTTATTTATCCACACTAAATATATCTCTCTCATATTCTAACAACAAATCAGATGTACATCCTTTTATAATTAATTAAATATGCTCATTTCTTGCAAAAGGAAAATGCACATTTATGGTAAGGGAGTTGGGATGATTAGTTTCAAAAGTGTAGGGACAGAGAGACTATTTGGCTCTATTCTCGCGAATTGTGATCCACATATTTTTTTTTCTTCTTCTTCTTCGACAGGTATAATGTGACTCGATCCATTGCCTTCAACATATATGAGACAACTAAGTCACAGTTGTTCTTTTCTTTCTTCGATTGGGTCCATTCTTTTGTTACTTCAATTCAATGTTTTCGCATCCAACTGGATCATACATAGCTCTTATCTATTCCACGTCCATTTTTTACACTAGATTCATTAATCATCTTCCAAGGTTTGTTTGTTCAATGAACGGATTGTGTGCATTCGTGTTCTTGTCCCTACCCTATACGCTTTGCCCATCGTGTTGTATGAAGGACGGTTCGGTTTATGCCAAAACCGTTTACATGGCCCAATTTGATCAAATCATTGAAAGCAATGTGTTGATAACGGGGAAAATCCAATGGAGATAAAAGTAACAGAAAGTGCCAAAGAGGAGAATTTGTGAGCATATGAGAAGACTGGGCATAGATAACAATAATATAGAAGAGAAGCAAACAAGCAAGAAGCATACATATTTTCAAGATTTATTTATTTTTTTGACAAAACACTAACTATTATTACTTCGCATATGTAAATGTAGATATTATAGCCAGTTCAATAATAATATAAATCGTATTTTAAGCGCATTATAAGGTAATTATCCAACTTATGCTTGAGCTAATACTAGTTTGGATCTTTTCAAATAATAAAAGAATATTTTTAAAAGTATAGCATGGTAAGATCAGAATCACATCAAGTTTATGGTCACACGGTTTCAAGGTTTACGGTTTGAATGGATCAAAGTTCACCACACAAAGTTGCGGAATGACTTTGTGATAAGAACACAAATCATTATTTATGTGAATCACACACAAAGACAAAGATTCCACTCGCTTTCTAAAGGAATCACACACAATAGAAAAGACAAGCAAACAAATCCTAAGCTTTAAAGGTGAGAAAAACTCTCTTTTAATTTCCAAAAATTTTATATGTTTACATTGAATGGAAAATTGAGCTTATATAGACTCAAGTTACAAATCAACAAATAAATCAACATAAATGAAAAATAAATCAAATTAATTACAAAAATCAATCAAGAATTAAATATTTTGAGAGATTTATCAATCGATATTAATGGAGATTGGTTCCTTGTATCTAGACATTTTCTTGATATATCCATGAATTGATGGTCTTCTAGAAATTTTTTTGAATTTTGAGTTTGATTTGCATTGAACCCTTTGTTGATGAGTCATTGATGTGAACCGTATTTTCGAGACTACATCA